ACACACACACACACTCACACACACACACACACACACTTTCGCTTTTCTCATATCTCTCATGCGTGATAGACGCCTTCTGTCAGCGTGATGCCTGTAATCTAAAAAAACTACCATTATTCTCATCATCTCATCACGGGTCGTCGACCGATGAAAGTAACAACCTTGCAAACCACTCAGCATAATTCGTGACGGTTGTAATGCATAGATCATTGAATGCTGATATATATTTTTTGACGGGCACTCCGTTACCGTTGACTCGCCTACCGTTCTCGTGCTGTCTTGGTTAAACTCTAACAATAACAGTTGCATCTATTACTTCCTTGAAATTCCGCGATTTCTGATTGACAGTTATCAATGGCGTGTTGCGTGCAATCTATATTACAACACTAAAAGTAATTACGCTGATGAATATGACATGGTTTCGTTGTATAATTAATGAAAATGATTCTGTCTGTGTTCACGCAGGTGTAAACTTTGTGTTACGGAAGATGGCGGCGACCGCATCACCCGTCACAGAGATCACGTACGAAGATGGCGTGTTTACCGTTACCACGACAACCACCTTTAAGACAAACATTTTTAAGTTCAAGATGGGAGAGCAGTTTGAAGAGCAAACAGGCGATGGCAGGAATTGCGAGGTAGAGACATATTATTACGTGATGGTCTGAATTTAGTTTCGAAAAAGACTCCAATTTTATTTGACATTTTTTTGACATTCCCTTTTGTTATATATTTAATTATAAATGCACAGCGAACTAGAGCATGTTTTTGTTGCAAATGTAGTTACTGCAATCTGTAGTAATAGGAACGCATTAGTGTTTACCTGCATCTACTAACTGTGGCTCATAGGATCTATGCCTCCCTGGGTACTGCCGGAACGTACTCTCGGTACGGTCCGGTATACCGGAACGTACCCTGGTAACTATCTTATATGGTTAGGGTTAGGATTAGGGTTATGGTTAGGGTTAGGGAGTAGGCGTAGGCGACTCCCTAGACTCGTTAGTGGAGTAGGCGAGGTACGGTCCGGCATATTAGATAGTACCAGCTAGGGTACGTTCCGGCAGTACCCTGGTGGACATAAACCCTCTCAGCCTAACTGCGTGAGTACAAAAGGGAAATTCGCGGCACGGTATAAAATTCTGAAATAGGATTCAGTGCGCATAATTACTCTTTTAATTAATGACTAACCAGTTATCATCTGTGTAATTATGTTTATAGAGTAGCGTGACTCAGGATGGCAATAAGTGGATCCATGTACAAAAAGATACCAAAGAGGCTGGCCTAGAAACAACGATCACACGAGAATTCACCGACGATGCAATGAAAATGGTACACAATATCTTATTGTACGCAAGCTACTCGCAAAATATAGAGTATAACACACACACACATACGCGCGCGCGCACACACCACGCACACGCACACGCACGCGCACACACACACACACACACACACACACACACACACACATTTAATGTGACTGGGCACAGTGGCATGCGCGTCGTAAGATTGTGTATTTTATTTCAGCGGATTTTGGAGAGCATTTGAACGTAATTTACGTGGAGGGATTATAATTAACGGAATTTTTAGACTAAAGAGAGTACATAAATACATTGTACATTTAGTAGCAAATACAGTTTCGATTTATTTACCATGATTTTACTAATGAAATGGCCCAAATGCGTGTGCACACGACCTCGTGTACAGGTGCCATTCAGATATCCCTCTACGTTGACTCAGTATCACTATACGTTATAATTCGCTGTAGGAATATTTGGGGAGTTAATTTATTGCTTTGTTGTCGTTGCAGGAGCTGATTCTAGGTGAAATTGTGTGCAAACGAGACTACAGCAAGCTCTAAGAAATCAATATCCCGATAGGCCTGAATAGCTTCAGCATTAGTCATCATCCATCATTGTATATTGCTATAATGCGTATATGCCACATTTGTAATTTTTATTTTGAATCTTTACATCGTCGAAGCATGCATTAAACTTGAGACTCGCTCGTTGTATTGTACGCGCGCGCGTGCACGCAAGCATACGTAAGCACGAACACGTGCGCGCGCACACGAACACGCACATATACGCACACGCACCCGCACCCGCACCCGAACCCGATCACGCACATATACGCACCCGCACACGCACACGCACACGCACCCGCACCCGAACACGCACATATACGCACACGAACACGCACACGCACACGCACACGCATCCGCACCCACGCACGCCATCCCTCCTACATACACATGCATACATGCCCCCCCCGCACACGCACACACACGCACGCACACACACACACGCACGCACGCACCCACAACACAACGCAGGCACGCACGCACGCACGCACACACACATACGAACCCAAGCACGTACGCTCGTACGTCCCCCGACCCATACACAATGTGTGTGTGCCGGCAAGTAGTGCAATCTAGTCTATTCTAGTCTAAATTGAGTGATTAATGAATTCAGTAGCGTATATATATATATCAGGAGTACATAATAGGGACACATAATCCCTACAGGGGTACATAATAGGGACACATAATCCCCCCAGGGGTACATAATCCCTATTATGTACTCCTGATATATATATATATATATCA